TTAATAACAATACTTAATCTGTAATTCTTAAAATGTAAATTAGTATACAGATTAAATTATTCTAATCTAGCAGGATTTTCATTCTACAATTTATGACAAGGATCACTTGAATTGTAAGAACTATCTGCTCAAACATTCAGGGTTGTCGAACCATCATTCGGGCGAATGTTAGTGGTTCATATCCATGCCAATGAAAAAAGTAGATCCCCCGCTTTTCATTCTTTTTTTTGCCATCAGTATTGTACATTCCATTAAGATTTCCCTCCGTACAGTATGCATCATATGAGTACCACCATCCGCCACTGTAGTCCACTGCACAATCTCTTTGAGCCCAGTTATCATTATCTTCGTCGTAAGTAGAAAAGAGACCAGTCCACAGGCTGTCTATAAAACATTTTAAAATTACTTTGATGATCTGATCAAACATTCATTCATGCATTTGTATTTTTCAAGTCAGGGGAAACACATTTTCGACTTTATGCAACTGTTGAACTTAACAGAGTATTTGTACAATGTATACTGTAAAATGCTACATATTCAGGTGTATGTGTAGGTATTTTTAAGAGATATTACTATACTGAAAGGAAAAAGAAACGCATAGTATTAATTCAAACTTTTTTTCCGAAAAGTTTTCCAGTATTATCAAATATTTTAAATCATCTTTAATCAACAAGTTACCAAAAGCTTTTTTGACTTTGACTGATAATTCATGAGTTATTGAAATTGATATTATGTCGATACCCCCAAAAATTAAAATAAACATTCTCATCATATCCATTGTACATCAGTAAGAAACTTGATTCTACTGTACGTAGAGTACATCTACGGAAGCCCATTTAGGACCTATCAAAAAATATTTTTGAATTCGTTATAACGATTTTTAGAATTCGTTATAACGAATATAATTTGTTAAAACAGATTTATTAAATTCGTTATAACGAATTTATTTTGTTATAACAGATTCATTGAATTCGTTATAACGAATTAAATTTGTTATTACAGATTTATTGAAATCGTTATAACGAATTTAATCTGTTATTACAGATTTGTTGAATTCGTTATAACCAAATTCTTGAATTGGTTATAACGAATTCAACAAATCTGTAATAACAGATTAAATTCGTTATAATGAATTCTATAAATCTGTAATAACAAATTAAATTCGTTATGACGAATTCAATGAATCTGTAATAACAAATAAAATTCGTTATAACGAATTCAATGAATCTGTTATAACAAATTAAATTTGTTATAACGAATTCTACAAATCTGTTCTAACAAATTGAATTCGTTATAACGAATTCTAAAAAAATCTGTTATAACAAATTAAATTCGTTATAACGAATATTAAAAATCGTTTTAACGAATTCAAAAATATTTTTTGATAGGTCCTAAATGGGCTTCCTTAGTACATCAGAGTATTCATCTTTCTCATAGGATCATTATTCAACCCTTCCGAAGGTAGTCTTACAGATTGAGAGTACCTGTAGCAGTTCAAAGCTAACAAATCCGAGTTTTCGATTTGAAATATAATTTACAAAATCAAGCTGGTCTGGTACACGTGAACGTTGTAAGAAAGTCTTGACAAACACTGGCTAAATTTTCCACATGTGAACATGCTAAAAAAAATTACGCATATGACGCGTACGTGCGCCTCTGAAAGTAAAATCGATGTAAAGTTGCCAAGTTCGCGGACCAAACTAGAGCAGAGAATTTCTGTAAATTTTATGGTGAAAAATATGAGTATGATTGTCTATTGTATAAATACCAGTTTCATTGATAATGTCTTGAGGATAACTGAGCTGGGATGATGAAAAGCTATATCTTGATGTGAGATTGTTACGCGGCAACGTCACCGCTACTTTACTCTCTGACAGCCGAAAAACTTTTTGGTTGAACTGTTAAAAACAAACTACACAGGAAAATTCGTTGCCTCTTTATTCACTTATGCAGTTGAATCACTAGATCCAATGTAACTTCCGTCAGCCATACCATGATTGCAAGAAATTTTTGCTGACTGCAAATATGCAAAAATGATGTCTATGACTCAAATGCATCGTTTGGGATCGTTTGGCACTACAAAATGTGATCACAAAATTGTCCTCATCAATGTTCAAGTAGTTTTTTTTTTGGCTTTTTTTTTTTTACTTTCCCTACATTGTACGTGGATCAATAAATTTCATGGTTGAGTAGTTTTGACCAGCAATTTTAGTGCAAAGTAACCAAAATACACATATGACCAATTTTCATAATTTTCAGCCATATAGTCAAAAAATATTAGCATAATTATGTTCTCATGCGTCTCCGTTTTCCTTTTAGAATATTTTGGATAGATTTTTTTTTAAACTTTCAAGAAAGACTGGAAGAAAATAAATACCAATATCACAAGTTTCCCTGCATGTAATTTGAAGTCTATACTTATTTGCACTATCCTCTACGGAGAAATTGTATTCCACATATCTCTCCTCAAAGTTCTGATCCATCAAATCTACCCTCAGGATTGAGTATCCAGAGCTGGATAGTTCATGTATGTACTGGTTACCTATAATGTTGTAAGGCATGAATTACATTTGACATGATGTATTACTTCTAAATAAATTAGAACAAATTAAAAAGGCTGAATCAAAACACGCATTAAAACATTTTCAATCATGCACGAAAGGTATGTGATTGCAATTTTTATATTTGACTTAACAAAATTGATCTTCGGACTTGTTTAATATTTATCATTTGAGATATATGTAAGTCATGTAATACCAATTTCTTTACATGTTTACATAGATGTTTTAATCTCAAAGACACCAAGTTGCATTAGAGAAAACATATTTTGTATGACTTAAAAAAAACTATAAATGACCTTACATACCAGGGCCGTTCAAAAAGTACGCGGACTCTTCTATTATTCACTCTTACAGACGTCATATAGTTATGAAATTTCACAGAAATATGTATCTTAAAGATTCCAATAAATTTTGGGCAAAATTTGTGTGTTTTGAAAAAATTCTATTAAAATTATCGGTATGTTGATATCGCTGATGGAGAGGTACGGAGCACGACAAAAAATTTGAAGCAAAAGCATGCAGAATCCAGCATTTAACTCATTAATTTTCTATAATTAGTAATATTTTTCGACAACTTTCTCAAATGTTTCTTTGAATTGTTTTGTTATTATGTATTTAGATTTCTGACTTGATATTTTAAGTACTAACAGAAATATAGTGATTTTTTTCAGATGCAATACTCCTGAAAAACGACTGTGAAAATGACGTCTCCTGATCATGAATTGACGGCGCACCACAGTTTTGTTAAATTATGTGTAATGCTCGAGATATCGCAAACATAGATCCAAAATATGCATAATAAAACATGTAATAAACTAGTGTATTTGTGACATTCGTCCACAAATAGCAAATTGAAATTCTAGACTGTTAGACCTCTGTAAAAAGGCTATACGGTAGGACGGGAAGAAAATTATCGGCAAAAACGTTATCCGGACTGTAAAGAACGTGATTGAGAGTCACCAGTATCACACTATATCTCATAAATACCTCTGTTTTGGTTTTAAAACGAAAAAAGATTATTCTTTACCAGACCTGTTTAATAGATTTTAAGCTTGACAAGAAATGGTGTTTGGATGTTGAGTAGATAAGGTAACTCAAACTGTACAGGAACTTTAGGGTAAATGTTGAGAAAATGAAAGTTTAATCACATATTTTTTATAATGCCTATGACGTCGAAGATTTTGCTGCTCCGTGACTTAATGATACGTCCTGAAAATCACTCAAAATTGACACCAATTTACAACATTTTGATATGAAATTTTGAAGACCATATAAGTAAGGATTCTTTTATGTTATGTGTGACATTTTGCCCAATTATGTCGTCAAATATTTTTTCTGTGCAACAAGTCCGCGTAATTTTTGAACGCCCCTCGTATTATCAAAAAAAAAAAAAAAAAAAGATTACATAAAACACAATTTTAAAATGATTGTTCCTAGCATTCTACATTTGTTGCATGACGTCTCCTTGTAAAACTTACACTACATTATACATGTATTTTAATTTCTAAAAGAATAGAATATTTACGGCCAACGATAGTCAAAAAGCCCACCAAATTAAATAAACGTTTCGAATCCAATATATACTATAAGTGACTATAACATATCTATATATGCATAAAACATAAAGAAATATAAAGGAATTATCAATACTCACACTCTTCTTAAAAACAAAGATTTATATGTAATAGGGTTTCTTTCCTTCAGTCATTCTTATACATAAATTTAGTTCGAGGGAACACATACGATATGCCAGATTCATGAACCAAACAATCAAGTTGAATGGGGTCGAGAAAATGCATGTCGCAAACAGGATCCGGAATTAGCTCAGCTAATAAAGAAAATTTACATCATGGAAGTCAGCACAAGCTTAAGATACCATGACAAAAAAGTAGATATTATAATAAAACATTTATTGACTGTTGGTGACATGCATTTTGTCGTGCCCTCCAATTTATCTGTTTGGTTCTTGGATCCGATATATCGTATGCCCCCCCCCCCCCCCCCCTCAAACTCACTCGTTAAATTTATGTAAAAGAATGCCCGTGGGAGAGAAATCCGTATCTCAATTGAACTGTACCAGGTATACATTTTTACATGTACATGTAATAGGATAAATACATATAAAATTGTTGCTTGTCTTCAATTACTGTATGTGTACTTAAAATAGTTGGCTCCATATTTTAGCGGCTAGGGCGCAGACAACTATGCGCTAATTCATGAATAACCCTACGAAATCATTTATATATAAAATACACTGAACGGACATGTGGAGCGTTGATCCATGATTACACCAACAACTCCATACCTAGTGATTATAAACTTACCTAACCAGGTTCCAGAATTCACAGGATACAGCTATAAACCTACCTAACCAGATTTCAGAATTAACAGATCCGAATCCATTCTCGTATTCAGTCCAGTTTCTATAAAAGTCAACAGATCCATCTATTCTCCTTTGAATAACCTGAAAAGGGAAATTAATAAACACATATAAATTCAATCCATAGAAGCAGGAAGAAGTGAGATTTACTTTATTTCCACAATTTTCATTTTCATACTATACAGTATATTTCATATCAAGTGTGAAAAAGACAGACATTTCACATACATACACTCTTTAATGATTCAATGTCAATTCTTTCCTTGTTCAGTTTATTTCAATATGATGGAATATGATAGAATATGATGGAATTTCATGAAATATCTATACTTACCATAATTAACTGAAAAGTTTGCAGACAATGTCAATCTTTGATTTTATTCAAGATACCGAAAGATCAGCTCATAAACAAATTAATTTGTTGATGAAGCAAAGTTGATTATTGAAGATACTAGTATTCCCTATGCACTTCATACATACTAAGAGTTGTCTTAAACCATACGTTCCCTTTGCCTGTGCTAAATATCTAATGCCAATCAATATCAATACCAAGAATGACCTTCAAATGTATATGGTGATGTCTCCATCTGAGTGGAAAAAAAAACTCAAAAAGATCGAGCAACCAAATATCTAGCCTCTAATTTGACCTTCCGGCGGCGTATATTCCTTTCTGTTAATGTGTCGGCTAATGTGAAACAGAGATTCACCTGAGGCGCGAAGCGCCGAATGGGGGTAGGTACGGGAGGGGGTCGCCCTCTCTCGTTGGCGGAATTTTAAATTTAGGAATATCTTCATTCAAAGGTCTTTTAAATTCTTATTTTTGTAAAAAAGGTAAAGAAATTTATCATTTTGGAATAAGACAGTACCATATAATACATTGTCAGTTGCAAAATAATGCAAATAATTCAAAGGCAGACTTATATAACCAATTTTTATCAGAAACACCTATGTGTATGTGAATACTGTATTGACTCCGTTGAATATTATAAAATAAGACACGAAATCATGGGATTTGATTAAAGAAAATTAAAAAAAAGAATGTATTTAAAATTATAAAGATATATAAGTTCTTGTCGTAGTACCACAGAAATGTTTTTTTTTTATTTTGCCAATTTGAAGACAACCAAATTGTTATATCTCCAAACAGTGATTATGATAAATTTAATCTTAACATACTTTAGTTATGAGAAAAGTCGCTTGCACCACTTGGCAAAATTGACAAATTTTAGCAGCGTACAGTTTAACCTTGTTCAGTACCTATCGTTGCAAAGTATATGGAAAGAAGCCTTTAGATCGAGTTTGTACACGAAAAATGATATAGTACTTATCGAAACAGTCGACTTTTGCCAAACGCTTTATATTATCGCGTGACATAATCACCTTTGCTTTTATTCTGTTGTTTGTTGTCCTTTTTCATAAGTAAATGTAACTGATTTCTTTAAAAAAAATCTGTTATGGACTTCTTAGTAACAGAGTAAGTTTTGAATTTTACCTTGAATGAATCAAACGGCCAGATTAAGTAAAATGCAATTTGCTTAGAATTACATTGTACTGTAATATCTTTTTGGCATTTGACGTCAAATGAAATGAAATTAAAAAGGCAGGACCTATTTTTAAAGTAACATTATTTTCAATTCTTACTTTCAGAGTTAAACAAGTATATATTTTTTGTACACCTTGAGGAAATGATGTGTAAGCTGCAGTCTTTTAGCCTATATTGAATATACGCCACTGCCTTCATTTGCAGAAAACCCATATCCCTGGCTTACTCCAATGTGGCTTTGTGGTATCAATCTTATTTTTATATATTTGACTTCATCGCTCCCTCAAAGCAATCTTTTCCCCACAAAACATACGCACATTCTTATTGTGTTTTGAAATAAATCGAAATATACTAGTACGATTGTCTCGATAGACCTCATTGGGCTTCGAATCTTCAGTGTTAGTTCAGCTTCTTACTCCTTGACATGTTTAAAGCTAAATCTAATCCCGCTTTGCATCATGAGCATATTGCCTCAAAACAAAATTTAAGTTTTAATTTTGATTTTTTAATCTTCATTTTATGACTGTACTTTCATTTTGACGTTTACAATTCACATGGAAGGTGTACTATACAGGTCATTTTGAACGAGGTTCACACAACAATACATCCTGACCCAATCTCCACACTAACTACCAAAAATCCTTTCCCACTCGAAAAATAGTATTTCGTAGCATCTCTAACATTTACAAATGCCTGCACTTTACTTCGAAAATCTACTTACAATCCAGTTGTAAGTATCATTAAGACAAGGGATATCTACTATCTTTCCATCATGAAACTGGCGCTGCATTACACATGTCTCAGTTGGCCTTTCTGGAAATAGAAATTTAACCTTTTGTCTCATAAAAGAAGTTTAGTTAAAATCATTAGTGTTAAAATAGAAATTGATAAATAGTATTTGGATGTCGCATAAAAATCTCACCTAGAGTTATAAGTGCCAAAGGCATTTATTCAGACATATGAGTTTATTGTGTATTTTCATTCCTTCTTATGAGAATTGATTTAGTAAATAGTGTATTACACATAAAAGAGGTACTTTTTGAATCGTTTTAAGAAAATAAACAAACAATTTTTTGTTTAACCTAGGTTAAACCTGGTATAAATTATATAAATTAAATAAACATTGAAAATATCAATAGATCTAGAATCGGCAATAATTATTTAACATATTAAAAGATGAAGCATTACCATCAATATATACTCAGGGCATGTTTTTCTTTAAAAATACTGTTGATATTTAGGTATATATTTGCTTACAAGAAAATAATTTTACCTTTTCTAACAAGTAAATATTTCATCCAGAAGAAATGATTAATCGCTTTGTGATACCTGTAATTGTAGTTGATATGAAAACATCGCTGGTTCTCGAATCTGGCTGTGTTGATGAAGAGGTAGTGCTGGTTGTATCGGTTGGTGTTGTGGTAGACTTACTGTTAGTTGAATCGGTTTGTGTTGTGGTAGATTTACTGTTAGTCGAATCGGTTAATGCTGTTGTTGTAGAAATACTGTTAGTGGAATCGTTTGGTGTTGTTGTAGATTTACTGTTAGTAGAATCGGTTGGTGTTGTTGTAGATTTACTGTTAGTAGAATCGGTTGTGGTTGTTGTAAATTTACTGTTAGTAGAATCGGTTGTTGTTGTTGTTGTAGAAATACTTTTAGTTGAATCGGTTGTTGTTGTCGTAGATTTACTGTTAGTTGAATCGGTTGGTGTTGTTGATGTGATACTGTTGGTAGAATCGGTTGGTGTTGTTGTAGAGATACTGTTAGCAGAATCGGTTAGTGGTGTTGTAGTGATACTTTTAGTAGAATCGGTTAGTGTTGTTGATGTGATACTATTAGTAGAATCGGTTGGTGTTGTTGTAGAGAATTTGTTAGTAGAATCGGTTGGTGTTGTTGTAGTGATACTGTTAGTAGAATCGGTTAGTGTTGTTGTAGCGATACTGTTAGTAGAATCGGTTGGTGTTGTGGTAGATTTACTGTTAGTTGAATTGGTTGGTGTTGTTGTAGATTTACTGTTAGTAGAATCGGTTGGTCTTGTTGTAGATTTACTGTTAGTTGAATCGGTTGGTGTTGTTGTTGTAGAGATACTGTTAGTAGAATCGGTTGGTGTTGTTGTAGAGATACTGTTAGTAGAATCGGTTGTTGTTGTTGTTGTAGATTTACTGTTAGTAGAATCGATTGGTGTTGTTGTAGTTTTACTGTTAGTTGAATTAGTTGGTGTTGTTGTTGTAGAGACACTGTTAGTAGAATCGGTTGGTGTTGTTGTAGAAATACTGTTAGTTGAATCGGTTGTTGTTGATGTAGAGATACTGTTAGTAGAATCGGTTGTTGTTGTTGGTGAGATACTGTTAGTGGAATCGGTTGTTGTTGTTGTAGTGATACTGTTGGTTGAATCGGTTGGTGTTGTTGTAGAGATACTGTTAGTAGAATCGGTTGGTGTTGTTGTAGTGATACTGTTGGTTGAATCGGTTGGTGTTGTTGTAGAGATACTGTTAGTAGAATCGGTTGGTGTTGTTGTAGAGAATTTGTTAGTAGAATCGGTTGGTGTTGTTGTAGAAATACTGTTAGTTGAATCGGTTGTTGTTGATGTAGAGATACTGTTAGTAGAATCGGTTGTTGTTGTTGGTGAGATACTGTTAGTGGAATCGGTTGTTGTTGTAGTGATACTGTTGGTTGAATCGGTTGGTGTTGTTGTAGAGATACTGTTAGTAGATTCGGTTGGTGTTGTTGTAGTGATACTGTTGGTTGAATCGGTTGGTGTTGTTGTAGAGATACTGTTAGTAGAATCGGTTGGTGTTGTTGTAGTGATACTGTTGGTTGAATCGGTTGGTGTTGTTGTAGAGATACTGTTAGTAGAATCGGTTGGTGTTGTTGTAGAGAATTTGTTAGTAGAATCGGTTGGTGTTGTTGTAGAGATACTGTTAGTAGAATCGGTTGGTGTTGTTGTTGTAGCGATACTATTAGTAGAATCGTTTGGTGTTGTTGTAGAAATACTGTTAGTAGAATCGGTTGGTGTTGTTGTAGAGATATTAGTAGAATCGGTTAGTGTTGTTGTAGTGATACTGTTAGTAGAATCGGTTGATGTTGTTGTAGTGATACTGCTACTTGAATCGGTTGGTGTTGTTGTTGAAAATATACTGTTAGTTGAATCGGATGGTGTTGTTGTTGTAGTGATACTGCTATTTGTAACATCGCCAAATAGTGTTGTTGCAGTAGTATCGCTGAGAAATGTTGATACAGAGGAAACGCTATGTATTGTATCGGTTGACGTTGTTAACGTAGTGGGTGTAGATGTGTTACTAGTTGCAACATCGCCTACCGTTGTTGATATAGACGTTGCACTAGTTGTGGCATCGCCAATCTTTGACAAAAAAAGAACATGATATACAAAAAGTGATTAATTCTCTAAATGAAATGATATTACCAGAGAGTTAGTTAGACATCAGATACATATACCTTACTATACCGAAGACATTGGTAAAAAGTATCATTGACAGAGGTGCCCTGGTAGAAACTTTTATTCCACAGACGGCAAAGAATACCACCACAAACTTCGATTCCTTTGCAATTGTCCATTATCATGCATTCTGATCCACACTTCAATCTTGGACTCTTCTTTCTTGACAGAAAAAATTCGCGGTATATGCTAGAATTCTCTATTTTTGAAGTTGTTTCCACATACCTGAATTTGTTTTCATAAATATGCGTAAAACAGATTGAAAATTTCAGAAGTAAAACTGTCATATATAAATTCATTTTAAAGCGTACACAATTTGGACTGATGTTTAATCCCAGTAGAAATGTACTCGTAGTCCATTCGTATCTGCCATGTGTACGATTTTCCAATGAACTTCACTTTATAAAAATCCCTTCTTTTTCATAAAAATCAATTATCTCTGACACTTTGTTTCAATCAATGTCCAAAAACTGCTATAAAAAAGTTGTTTCACATAAGTTTAATTCTCTTTTTCTAAGGCTACATAAGATCAATTCTTCCTGTCTTTGTCTGAGGCACTTAAAATTTATCAGAGAGTCCCAAACTCTTAATGCAGTGTCTGTGCTTATTCAAATACAATCTCAATCTTAACATTTATCACAGAGTCCCAGACTCTTAATGCAGTGTCTGTGCTTATTCTAATACATTCTAAATCTTTTGTAAGAATCCTTAACAAAGATTGTTGTATTTGATAGTATGGCACTCTTGAATTGAAATTAAATTGATTTTTTTAAGTAATATTGAGCAGCGAGTTAAGGTCAAGATCTAGTAAATGAAAGGTGCCTACAGATTTCTCAAATTTGAGAAATAAATTCCTTTAATGATGCCTTATAAGTTTAGCTTGGGCAAATAAGTTGTTTCGGGGTATAATTTGTAGGTAAACAAGATGAAAAATCATAATTTATACTGTCATTTTCAATGAAAAATTAAGAAATCCCGTCATGAATATGGGACTTTTTTCCATATCAGACAAAGAAAATGTATTCAGATAGCCTACAGTCTCTCAGAAAACGGTAATATATATGTTCTTGGACTCTTCTTAAGAATAATGTCAATTTTAATATAGGTATCGGGATTATTTTTCATGTAATTTCAAATTGAATTCCCTGAAAATACTTTATTTTTTGCATAATTCTATTAGAGCCGTAAAATACGGGAGATGGAAAGCTGAAATTGATTATTACGTCATAATGGATCTAGCACCAAAAAGGTAGTCTAAAGACATTTACTAGATCTTGACCTTAAGCCTTGAGCACATGTAAAACGCTCCTGAAAGAGACCTCACGAATCATTGGAAAGTGTGTTTAGATGATTAATAAAACCACAGATCGCATTTTTAAAGGGGCTGGGGATGGGGATGGGGCGGTTGCAGCCATTTTCAGACTATTTCGATCTCCTTTAGAAGACGAGCTCCATATAAAGATATACACAAATGATCAAATTTGAAAACTAATATGTTTGACATTTTCTTTGCCAAATGATACTTGACAGCTTAAGATACTGTATCTAAAAAAGTAAGTTAAATCTGGTGGTTAATTTTTGGTTAATTTTTGCCCCCAGCTTCCTTGAATTTAAATATGTAGATGTGAATGCCTTCCATGGTCTGTATATGTGACATAATGAATAAAGAATAGAGAATAGTTTGAAGTCATCATTTTGTATGGTAATAAAATGATCTTTTCAGCAAATATAGTTTTTCATTAAGTCAAATGCTGACTGACGTTTGTCATGCTTATTGGTAGTCCATTATTTACAAACGGAATTGTCGACGGGTTTTCCCTTTCTTTCCCAATCATGACAAGGAGCACATGGCGGTAGTGACCGGTCAGCAGGGGATGCTCACTCCTCCGTGGCACCTGATCTCACCTCTGATGTTTTGAGGATCGTGTTTGCTCTGCTCCTAATTTATATTCATTTGTTTATTGGACTTTTTGAGCTTGAATACTGTACCTTACCCCCATATTTCATGAAGCTAATTCAAATTTTATTATACAATGTCGTACTATAGTTAAATATCGGAGAAAAAATTGTCAGAAAGTAACACCATTATGAAAACACTTCTGAACCGTATAGTGGTTTATTTGAATCAAAACATGTATTAATCATAACGTCCTAGTAATGTCTATGACGACATAGCATTGTGACGTCATAGTTCGGTAAAAGTCATTTGCATATGATTGTATTAGTAGGTAAATTAGAAAAGTACTAATGTCTATAATTCACAACATTCTCCGGCCTACCAAAGTGTCCATATATCACAACATTCTCCGGCCCACCTAAGTACGAATTGAGTAGGTCCTTGGACCGAGAAATAAAAAGGAAAAAGAATGAAAGATGAATAGAAATCCTCGAAAAATTATTCACAATATCACATCAAATGTAATGCTCTTCCACTAGGTTTAAGTTTGGATTTGCTCTGTGTCTTTGAGTATGGTTCCATTACATATATGAACAAAGTCTCAAAAGAAATCGTTCTTTCTCTCCACTCTAATGTCCGAGGTACTCCTGATGAATGCATTCTCCTTGGCTTGAATTTGATCCTTATGCTGATCAATCTGATAATCCATAATCTTCACCTTCCTCTTCGTCTCTGCTATCTCATCCCGTGACTCGATGAGGTTCTTACTGTATGTCCTCTTCACATCTCTGAAAGTTTTGAATGTGTTCTACTGTTGCCTGATTTTGGTGTCATCCTCAGAAATCCTCTTGAAGTCAACAATCTGCATGCCATGAACTTTGTTATTTTCTGCGTAATTATGAATTAGATTGTTGCTCTCATTAGTGAAGTGGTTTCGTTCCTTTTCCAGTTGGTAGACGATGTTCATCTTTTCCTGGGTCTCCTCTCTGTAACTCTCTTCCAGGTTATTCTTTTGAACGTTATCTAGTTTCTTGGATATCTCTGACTCCCTCTTCAAACCTCTCTGCTGCTCTACATCTGAATGAATATTTTCTCCTACTTGCTGAAGTTTCCTTTGAGGTTTCTCACTCGAAGATTTGAGCCGTTGTATCTCCTGTTTAAGCGTATTAACTTCAACTTCTTTTTTCTTCAACTCTTCAGCTTGATTCTCAGCAGTCATCTGATTTGTAACAATTGACTGTGTATGAAATTGGGACTGAAGCTTTGCAAATCCAGTATGGAAAAGGTTTACATCCTTCATGGTTTTCTCAATCAAAATCCTCTGTTTTGTTATCTGCTTTTCCAATTAAGCAATGACACTTTTATACTTCTTCATGTTGTCCTGTAGATTCTTGATTTCCCTTGTCTTTGCATCCAGTTCAGCCTTCGCTTGTAATGTAGAACTATTCTCCATTTTGGTTTTGACTGCATTGTGAGCAGTGCACAAACTTGTATGATGACGTCTTTTACAAATTTTACAATTGAATTTAGATTGACATTCTGCAACACGATGTCTCCCTAAACAATTAAAGCACAGTTTGTCTCGTCTGACAATTTTTATCCGGTCATGATGTTTTGTGTATCTTGTACGGCCACTTGAATGATGCGACTCCTTGCAAAATGTACAGCAAACTTGATGATTCCTTGGACTGCAGTTCCGTTTTGGTTGCTCATCACTGGATTCTGAGTGCATGTAGAAAATGGCTGTAGCACGTTCTTCTGTTGTGTCCATATGAGTTCCTGCTTCTAGTATGTCAAGTTCCTTGTATAGAGCCTTTCTCAAGTCACCTAGTAACCAATCAGTAGATCCATGCTCACGTGCCAGATTTTTGCGTAATTCACTTGGTAATTTGTTAAGAACCACTGGTACTAGAAGTGAACCATATGTATCTTGAGCTTGTCCGTAGAATTCTAAACCTCTGACATATGTCTCCACGTGGTCATGAAAATGACGCAGGCTTGTTAGATTATTCTTGGGAGCGGGAAGGTCTAAGAGCACTTGCATGTAGGACTGAGTTATCTTGTGTTTTTGTCCAAACCTTTCGTGTAGAAGCTCAATCGCTCTGTTGTAGTTTGCATGTGTGAGTGCAAATCCTGAAATGGTGTTTGATGCCTCTTCTGCTAGTAAAGACTTTAAGTAGTTAAACTTTTGTACTGCAGACGACGTGTTGTTGCTCTGAATAGCCGAATCGAATGAATCCCAGAATGACTGCAACTCCAACACATTTCCCTCAAAAATGGGTAAGTTTAGTTTGGGTAGTTTGTGTAGAACTGTTTGAATTTGAATTAGGATGAAAACTTGTGAAGGACTGATGAGTTCTTGAATTTTCACTGAAATTGTTTGTTGATTGACTATTCCCTGCGAATTGCGATTTCTCGTCCTGATCTAAGAATCTGCTGGCAATTGCATTTTGTACCAACAAATGTTTCTTACATTTCCTCATTTTAGAATTAAGATTGAAATTGTACTCATCTGTCTCCAGTATTTCCTGTTTGTCTGTTAATGTCTCCAAAATTGCCTCAATTTCCTCTGCATCTGCATTTTCTTCATCCAGTCTTTTCAGAAGTCTGCTTACAGCACTTCTCTGTCCTGCTCTTACTGCCTTCAGTTTAGAAGTCATCTCTCCTTTTTTGTCACGGCACCAATGCCAGAAAGTACATGTAACATCAATACGAAAACACATCTGAAGCATATAGTGGTTTATTTGAATCAAAACATGTATTAATCATAACGTCCAAGTAACGTCTATGACGTCATAGCATTGTGACGTCATAGTTCGATAAAAGTCATTTGCATATGATTGTATTGATAAGTAAATTAGAAAAGTACTAATGTCTATAATTCACAACAAAAATGTTGGTCTCATTAATATTTTATGTTCTGTTTTATTAACTCAAGTTTGTTACCAATTCGCACGTGTCATGTATCAATTTCAGATTTATCTAAAGTTAAGGACAACATGTACAAAGAAAAAATAAAACTGTTTAAAATACGTTATTCTTTTTACGTTTTATATATGTTTTACGTCCTTCTGACGTAAATCAAACGTCATCGATTATAAAAACCTCCGTGTCGTAATTATTTTTGTACGTCATCCACTTTTTTCAGTTTTACATAATTTTTGTGATTCAAAAAGATTGAAATTCTGTTACAAAAATAACCTCTGATTGGTCTAATTGTAGTGAAACTCCTTCGATCAAGTTACTTATTAGAATCTGGGTTTTAAAATAGTCTTTGCAATCAAATGTTATCTCCTGTGTTTAGTCAATGGTTCAAACGTTCAGCAGATTCTAGATCTGAGTCAGCAGATTTAGGAAAAGTTTACAAGCGGGCTCATTCAAGGCCCAGGGTTCACTCGACGAGAAGCCGTCATAGGAAGAGGACGCATTTATGTTGTCTCATTAGTGGTGCCTCTAACTTCTCTAGGCGGACCTTTAGAGTGTCATAAATCTTTACGGGTTAATAAAACAGTAAATTACTATTACATATCACGAGTGTTTGAAACCTGGGGTTAAAACTACAGGTCTGGCAGCTAGTGCTCAGACAGAGTGTCAGACCAGGGTTGAGAACAAGGAGATAACTAAGGAAAAATAGAATAATAGTGAAGATCAATTTCATTCATTGTGTTGGTGATTAATAGTGACTGTATTTGTTCCTTCATTTAATTAATCTAATCAGCTAAGTACGTCAAGTAACGTATGGAAAATTCTTTCTCTATACTTCATCCGTGGTCGAACCAACATAACACATTACATAAGTATAGCATTTTCCTCGAAACATTTTACAAACCACTATCTTATCGATGCTGCGTCAATAAATCGTGTTGATTTCGTCGTTAAAGATCATAAAGACTGATCTTACATTGTGCTTTGTTAGTTTATATAAGTAAGGCATGAATTTTCTTATCATTTATTTTATTATTTAATAGATTAATTATATCTATGGCATATTCTTATGAATTAAAAAAGAACGCTTTGATTGTTAAACTTTATCACATTGACATACGCGGTAGGCATCAAAAGCCTGAATGTTATTTCGATGGTAAATACGATCTCCAGACAAGGTACACAAGATATACACGATGGCTAAAAACTAAATGTCAATCAAATCAAAGTATCCAATCCTAGGCTTAATTTCAGATGACTGACAGGGGTTCTAAGACTAGGTAAATTCGAAGGAGGTGCTTATTTCCTCCCACTTTAAGGTAGTCCGATCCTCAGGTTTATAAAATTAGCTGTTAAGTAATCAAAAATACTCATGAAGGTACCTCTGAATCCACAAAGTTATGTAAATTCATCCACAATATTTCTTGAAAGTTAAAGATTAAAGTTAATCATATTATATAGGGGAAATTTTCAAATCTCCAATAGTTTAGCAGAAAAAGCGAATTAGAATATCGGTTATGTATTTTTTAATTGCAAATTGATGAACAAATATATTTTAGGTTAAAAAACGATAGGTATCCAGGCATTCAGAGAAATTGTCATGATTTCATACTCATTTGATATTTTTTTTTGTCTTCTATTTTCGCAGAGGGACGTTAAACAGTAAACAATCAATCTATTTCCGTCATGTATTCTATAATACATAGTCTAAAAGACTTATTGCTATCATTGCAAGACACTACAAATCACTTCTTATTTCATACCATGCTAATAAACATTGATATCTAAGGCTGAATTCAAGAAAATCTTACTTCTCTAAAACTGTATTTTTTTTTCTTTTATAGGGTACAAATGTCAACTTTTATAAGACCTTTTCTAAGACTTCCAAAAACTTTGAATCTTATAAAGATGAATAAAATAAAAATTGTTGCATGAAAAAATTTCATTTTCAAGCTTCATTTTGATGCATTTCAAATTAAATATTAATTTTTGGAGTTATCCTTCCTGGCTGAGGATCGGATATCCTTAAGATCAAAACAAATTTAAAGTTGGTTGACTCAGTTTGAAACTCACTTGAAAGATGACCAAAACGACATTACCATTCATTCGGTTTACCAGATCTCTCAGTGATTATGAAATACAGTGTGTCTGAAAGGTGCAATTCCATCCTGTAAAAAGCAGACATGAAGAAAAAATCAAACTTACTATGGTTTCAATGTACTAATGCCTCAGTAAAACTTGTTTCATCAAATGAATAAAAATTCATCAGACATTTAATTTATAAAGGAAAATCAGTAAAAATCGTTGATTCTCTATAGGACAAGTGTTTGGTCTCCAAAAAACAGTCCGATACTTCACCAATAAATGCTAATTCAGTTGTCAAAATAATTTATGTAGTCAGAGCCATCTTGTCCATATGGTTTAAATTCTTCGATAGTTAAGGAACCAATGCCTATAGTGTCATCAGTATTCGAGGAACCACTGCCTGATATGTCATCAATAGTTGATATTCCAGCTGAGATTAAGTCATTCTCTGTACTTCCTGGAAGAGTTGATACATCAGTAGTCGAGGAACCACTGCCTGATATGTCAACAAGAGTTGATACATCAGTAGTCGATGAACCACTGTCTGATATGTCAACAAGAGTTGATACATCAGTAGTCGATGAACCACTGCCTGAAATTTCATTTATTTCTAATGATTTGGTTGTCATAACATAGTCATTATTACATATGTAGGACAATCTAGAATAGAAAGTAATGTATTTAAGACCCAGAGCCTTA